CACTGCATCTGGTGGCCCCAGGCTGTCACACTATAAAGGGGTAGAAAAACAAGCAGTGCAAAGTCACCAGCTCCTCCTGAATCACAGCACAAAGCTCCAAATTTAGTGGGTCTCATGATAAAAGCCCTCCTTGTGGCTTGTGCCTTCTGCTCTTGCAGCGTTGCGCGGTTGCTTCTGGCCATGGAAAGCTGTTGTTGCATTTCAGTCCCCTGCTCACCAGAACTTCATGGAACCATGGAAGGTCAGAAAAGACCTCTAAAATCATTGAGTCCAACCATTAACCTAACACTGCCTGGTCCACCACTAAACCAGGTCCCTAAGCACCACGTCTAGTTGTTTTTTGAACACTTCTCACTCCTCTTTGTCCTGCAGCAGCCCCAGCTGAGAGAATCTCCCCATCCCTGACCACTCACCACACGGTCTCTCCACCAAACAGGACATAGTTTAAGAAAAAACAGGAAAAACAGTCACAGTCCTTTAAACAGCATTTCAGCTCTTCGTATATGATTTTTGTACAGTAACAGGGAAGATCGTATTTTTCTCCCCAGCTCTACCTTCTCAGACAGGGTTGTTTAGCACAAATATTAACATGTTTTTGGATATGGCACATTTAGGCACTTCTAAACTGGAGCTGTGATATGGGCAGAGCACATCCCTCCTGCCTCCACCCAGTTTCCTCAAGGATCTCCAGAGCAAAACACCACAAGGCTCCGGCACAACTCTACAAAAAGTATACAGTTAGAGCCATAAAACCTGGTGAAGCTCAGACAAATTGTTCCCAAGCCTCCAAAATAACAGGAGGAAGCACCTTCACTCTGCGTTGTGGGACACCAACACACCAAGTAATTCTAGGAGGAAAATAGGGATTTTCTTTTGTTTAAGCCCCAATGGCAGATGGAGAGGGTTTGGGGGGAGATGGGTAACACTTCCCCAAACCCCACCATGCAGTGGGATCTGCAAGACTCCCATGCAGAATCAGGCTTGAGCCTGGCTGTCTCACAAACTGCAAGAGAAAGACTTGGTGGATTTGTTTGAGAATTCCAAGCCCAAAGGAACTGCTCTCTGACATGTGGAGTATCCAGCAAAGCCCTGGGGGTTGCAGCAGACAGAGCACAGGTAGCTGGAGAACAACAAATGCCAGATGACTGTGCACGGCTTAGAGTGGGGAAAAAAAAGGCCAGGTTTGCTCAGGAGCTCTGTGTGAAGGAAAGGGCAGGCATTGCAAGAATTCAGAAACAACATCCTTAGATGGAGATGGGCCAGTTATGGAAGAAGCTGAGCACGTAAACAGGCTTTGGACAAGGAAGTTGGCAGGAGCGCGTGAAATCTCCTCGGAGGCTTGGGGAGATTTCACACTCCTGCACATGGGGAATGGACCAAACCGGGCCACCTGGATTCCTGCAGAGTTCAAACCCTCTGTGGTGTTCAGCCCTCAGAGCTGAGGGTGATTGTTGGTCATGCAAGAGCGCTGTCAGGCTGGGAGCAGAACTGAGGGTGAGGCGGATCCTCAGGCTCACAACCTGCGTGTTTCTGTCTGTGTCACTCCCCATCAGATCAGCAGTGGGAAGGGAGGAATTTCTGTGCATCCACGGGTGGATTTGCTACTGCCTGGACCCCCTGGAGATAAAGCTGAAGGCACCTGGGCTTGGGGCTTGAGCTCCCATAGCACAGGCAGATGTTACAGCAGGATCTCACCTCCACAGAGCATCACTCTGTAATAAGGGTGAAACCCCACTCACCCCATCCTCCCCAGCCCTGCAAAGCCCCCAGGGGGGGCTCTGGGTGCTGTGGTGGGTCCTTGAGGACAGGGTAAAGAGGCCACCCAGATCAGCATCATAGAGAAGGGGGTAAAATTTGGGGTACCTAAACTCCAACAGCTCCTCTCTGCGCTCACAGGGGCGCAGCACAGCAGAGGGATCCTCACTGGTCATGGATAACCTCCATCACTCCCCATGGCCTGAGCACCAAAACACCCCAGAACTTTCTCCCCCCCAGATGGGGAGAGAAAATAAATGATTTATAAAGTAAATAATAACCAAAGTGCAACCCCAGCCTCCCTAGAAATGCTGAGAGCAGATATTTCCAGCCGGTCTCCCGTCACCGCCAACATGAATGATCACCAACCTCCTTGTCACAAACCTTTAGAGCAACTCTCCGGAATTAAATCAGCATATTGCATGGTTCCAGTTCCTTTCATCCAAAGATCTTCAAATGATTTACAAACAACTCTTTAATTAAGCCTTCCAAACAGGCCCCAGGCTACTATTACTGTACCTGCTTTGCCACGGGGGAATCGAAGACACCGCACTGCTAAAACAGCCTGCAAAAAGGTTGCAAAAATCTTATCGAAGTTCCTCCAACAGCAAATATATTGAGAAGACACTCTGCTTCACTGCTGATTCTGAAACCCTCAGGTTAACCATTTTTTTTCTTCTCCAGGAGATATGGCCCCAAATTGCCTCCTCCCACCCATGTCAGGATTAGTATTCAACGGATAAAATGTTTTTTTAAAAATGCGCATCTTTGACAGCTTGTCTTCTACAAACACAAACTCCCAGTACCAGGGAACTCCCAGTACCAGGGAGCCAGCCCAGCTTTGGGAATGAAAAGCAGTGTTTTGGCAACAAGGATTTAAAACCCATCAATCTGAGGTTTGTTTTGATCCCGGCGAAGGGTTGATCTCCAGTAAAGCCCCTTCCTGTTCTTTTTTGCCCCCAGGACAGGTTTGTGCTGTGGCTCTTTTGAATCCTCTGTGAATAAAAAGAATTGGTTTTCTCTTCCTGATGCAATTTTGTTATCAGACCTCCCTGTGGGAATACAAGACGCAATATGGGGAAGGAGTAAATAAAATTAAATATCCCATGAAGACACTGTAATGGGTAACTGAGCCACTCACTGGCTGGTTGAATTTACAGATGTTATTTGCCCAGTGCCATGTTTGCTGCATCTCTTGTACACTCTTGTCTGAAGCTGATTTTATCCTGATTTAAGGAGGGAAATAAGAGGGAATCTCTGCAGAATCGGGGGTTTGGGATGCCACAAGCCTGGAAGTCAGTATTTCTAGAGAAATAGCTGTACCCAAAAGAGCTGCCTTTAAAAAGCTTCAGTAACCTTGCGTTGACTCTGCTCTGCCCCACGCACAGAGGTTGTCACCTTCCAAAAACATGCTCCAAAATCCCAACTCGAAATCCCACTCACCCACCCATTTCACATCCAGTTCAAGGAGAGCAAATCATGCAGGCACCATCCCAATTTCTTAAGATACTCGAAATCTTGCAGTTTCACTTACAGGCTCAACTTCTTCCCATTTAAGGAGAGGAAAAAAAGATGAATTTTAAGCTTTGAGTAGCTCAGATGATTGCAGAGATATGAGCCTTGAGACTCCAAGGCCAAACATCCAGCAAACTGGGATGCCTATTTTGACCCCTAAGGAAGAAAATCCTGGTGCCAATACCCAGCGAGCAACATAAAAGCATCTCTAAGGAGCTTATTTCAGAACTTAAGAACAGCAACGAATGACAGAAAATGCTGTTTTCAAGGATTTAGTTAATTAATTTCTGAGAAAGGTGTAATAGGATCACTTAAGAGTGTTATAGAAACAGGTCCCCCCACATCCTCCCACTGAAAGCCTGTTTTGTCCCGAGCCCAGAGTATTTATTGCCCCATTCTGAAAAACAAAACAAAACCTTCTGAGAAGGCAAAGTCAGCTAAACTCAGCTAAATTCTGTCCAGCACAAGAAAATTGTGTTAACTGCTCCTACTTTATGCCAATATATTAATGACACTCAGCCTTCCTGAGCTTTAAGGGGAAGAGAAATCTCTTTTCAAGTGCACCTTGGCATCCGGGAGAGATGGGGGCTCACACCTGCTCACCCACCAAACCCCCGGCACCGTCAGTTCCATGAGAGGAACAGGAAAAAACCAGGCAGGCAGAGATTTCAGCCAGACCTCTGGGAATTCACCCCACAGTTAAATCCCCAGGGCCCTGCCTCCACTTGTGCTTTTACCTCCGGAGCCTCCTCCAGCTTTTGTTACCTTGAATAAAAGCACATTCAGCTCAGCAGAGGCTCTTTTGGGAGACAGGAGTCGGAGCAAGATTTCACCTTCTCCTGTTTTATTTCGTATTTTATTATATTTTATACTATTTCATTTTATTAGATTCCCACCTCCCTTGTCTTCTTTGATTACAGGGAAGAAACACCCCACTCCTCCCTACCTTTATTCACTTTCCAAAGAATCAGTGCATTTCCTTTCCCTGCTACTTTTCCATGTGTTTTTTTGGCCACCTCTCCAACAAAACACCCCATCAAAGAGCCAGACCTCCCACTGCATCACCCACCAGACCCTGAACCCCAACACCACATCGCAGGACCCCAGGCACTGCTTCCACTCCCAAACCTCCCCGACACGACACATCCCGCCCGGCTCCACCGCTGCCCCACAGCGAGGGGTCTCCAGCTTAACCTTTTTCCAACTCCTCCATCAACTTCCAACAGGGAATTGCTTTTTCCCCCCCGCACTCTTTTCCCACGCCATCTCCACGGGCAGAGGTGATGGCTCGTGTTCGGTACGTGCAGCGCTGGACCACTGCAAGAACAGCCGCACCAAGCCGAACCCAAGGTCCCCTCCTTGCTCGATGAGACCCTAAAAAATCGCTCTCCCAAGACAGATGTTTCCCCAGCGCCCGGGCAGGGATGCGGGCGGGAAGCAGCGGGTTTGGCTCATCCCGCTGCAGAGCGAACCAGCACTGCGGCTCCTGCACCCGAAGTTGCGCTGCCGCGGAGGGCTGGATGCGCTCGGGTTTTGGTCTAAAAACGGGGAGATAAGCCGGACTTCAGGAGGCGGTAGTGGGCGCTCAGCATCCCCCCCCCCCGGATCGTTTTCCTCCAAACTCGCCGATAGTAAAAGGAAAAACAGAGGGGGACGAGAAGGCGAGGGATGCTGGAAGGTGGGGAAAAGGCACGGCGAGGGCAAAAAGCGGGGAAGGAGGCGGCACTCACCGAGCAGCAGCAGCAGCAGCGGAGCAGCAGCAGCAAGCAGCCCCGGAGCCCGCATGGTTGCTTCCCGGCCGATCCCGCGCTTCCCGGCGCTCAATCCCGGCGGGCGGGCGGGAAGTGCCTCCCTCCCCCTCCCTCCCTTCCCGGGCCCTGTCCCTCCCTCCCCTCCACTTTCCCTTTCCCCGCCCCGGCCCGGGCCCCCTTTCCCCGCCGGGAGCGCGGAAGCGGCCCCACCCGCCCCCGCCTTCCGCCCCCGGAAGCGGGGGGAAGAGACAGGTGGGATGATGGGGATGGGGTGGGGAATGAGGAGGGGGGAAATTGAGGAGGGGATCCCACCTGCCGAGGGGATGTGGGGTGCGTTAGGATGGGGGTACGCGGGGTATTTGGGGTTCTCAACTGCACGGGGGCGTTTGGGGGTTTCGTTGGGATTTTGGGCTGAGGGGGTATTTGGGGTTCTTAACTGTGTGGAGGGGTTTGAGGATTTTGTTGGAATAGGGGTTTGGGGGGACTGGGGGCTGTCAGCTGCATGAGATTTGGAGTGAGGAGGTTGGGGAGGATTTAGGGGGTTTCATTGGGACGGGGGTTTGGGGGGGATTTGGGGTTCTCAGCAGTATGGGGGGATTTAGGGGTATCGTTGGATTTGGGAAGTTGGGAAGGATTTGGCGGTTTTGTTGGGATTGGGATTTGGGAGGGATTTGGGGTTCTTAATGGCATGGGAGGATTTGGGGGTTTCGTTGGGATTAGGGGATGTGTGTGGATTTGGGGTTTCTTTGGGATGAGGGTATGGGGGTGATTTGGGGGTTTCGTTGGGATTGGGGGATGTGTGTGGATTTGGGGTTTCTTTAGGATGAGGGTATGGGGGAGATTTGGGGTTCTCAACTGCGTGGGGAGACTTGGGGCTTTCATTGGGATTGGGGTTTGGGATTGTATTTGGGGTTCCACCTGCATGAGGGGATTTGGGATTTTAGTTAGGGTGGGAGATTGGGGGAGAGCATGGGGGTTTCATAGAAATTATGAGGTTGTGACGAATTTGGGAGGGGGCTTGGTGTTCTCAATTGGACAGGGCCATTTAGGGGCTTCATTGTGTTTGGACTGGGTTTGGGGTTTTCATCGGGATGGGGGCTTGGGAGCATTTAAGGTTCTCAAATGCATGGGGCAATTTTGTGGTTTTATTGGAGTTGGGAGGCTGGAGAGGATTTAGGGGTTTTGTTGGAATGGAGGTTTGGGGGGATTTAGGGTTCTCACCTGCATGGGGGGATTTGGGGGTTTCAATGGGTTTGGGGTTTCCATCGGATTGGGGACTTCAGGGTGACATTTGGGACTCCTGGCTTGATGGGGGGAAATGGAGGGTTTCTTTGGGATAGGGATTTGGAGTTCTCACCTCCATGGGGAGACTTGGGGGTTTAGTCAGGGTGCGAGGTTTCAGTGGGATTTTGCATTTACATGGGGGGATTTGGGGATTTCATTGGAATCGAGTGGTTGGGGAGGATTTGGGGTTTTGTTGTGTGGGTGGTTTGGAGTGAATTTGGGGCTCTCACCTACATGGAGGGATTTGGGGAGTACATTGGGTTTAGAGGTGGATTTGGGATTTTTATCAGGGTGGTGGGATTCCTGCCTGCGTGGAGGGGATTTGGAATATTCGTCAGGATGAGGACTTGGGAAGGATTTGGGGGTTTTGTCAGCGTGGGTGGTTTGAAAGGGAACATAGGGGGGTTTGGGGTTTTCATTGGAACTGGGGGGTTGGGGAGGGTTTAGGGTTTTCATTGGAATGGCAGGAGTGAGGATGATTTGGTATTCCCACCTGCATAGTGGTGAACTGGGAGGTTTCACTGGAGTTCAGGGTGAATTTGGGGTTTTCACTGGGGGGAAGACTTGTGAGGGATTATCAGTTTTCGTCTGGATGGGGGTTTGTAGGTTGATTTTGAATTCCCACCCACATGAATAAGGATTTGGGATTTTCATCTGGATGAGGACTTGGGGATCAATTTGGGATTCCTGCCTGCATGGGGAAAATTTGTGGGTTTTATAAGGATGGGCATTTGGGGGTGGATTTGGAATTTTCATCTGGATGGGGGTTTGGGGTTTGATTTCAGATTCACATCCAGGTGTGGGTTTCTTGGGGATTTTCATCCAGATTGGGTTCATTTTGGGATTCTTACCATGAGTGGGGGTTTCTTTGGAGTTTTGGGTTAATTTGGGATCACTTTCTGCACTTTCACCCATCTGAACACACACACAGTGCCCCAATGGTACAAAATCCCCCTGATCCCTCCTCTCCCCCACAGTGAGTGTACCTTTTCACAAGATGATTTCTAGGAAAGATTTGCTCCCATTTGGAATGTCTTAAAGGAACAACATGCCCAGAGTATGAAGGACAAAATTATTATCAGATCTTGGCATTTTTTGTGGCAAGAGGGAAGGGTGTTGAAAGTTTTTTCTCTGATGTTCAGGCTGTAGCTGGGAGGAAACTAAAAATAAGTTCAAAGCTTTGCACTGAATCCCTCTCCTGGCTCTGACAGATCCAGCTAAACCAGGAACCTTCCCAGCCGGGACCCAGAGGTGGCAAAAATAACCTTCCCTCCAAAAAGGACTTTTCAAATACAGTTTTCTTGATGCCTTCAGTTAAAGGTGGACTTTCTTCTTGTTGCAAGGTCACCTTGAGAGGAGATGCTTGGGTTGGCTGGCTCACCCTCCCTACCTGCTTTGTGTTTGTCCCCAGAAAAGGCTTCTTGTCCTGATTTTGGGTTCTGAGTCAGTGGAGAGACTTTCCCTGTGCCTCAGCCCAGCCTCACCTCCTCTTACTACAACTCTGCATTGCACAACTCCTAAAACCTGGGAAACTCAAGCTGCAATAAGTGAATGAGCATGTTGATGCACATTATCAATCTTGCCAATATCAGAGAGGCAGTTTCTTCTTCCCCTGCAGAGTATTTTTAATATCAGGTCACACTTACACACACACACACTCTCCCAATCAGCACATTTTGGTTTTAACTGCCGAGTCAAAGCAGCCATGGGGAAAATCTGAGGTGCTCCAGCATAGCAGTGTCCCTGGGATGAAGAGGAGGGGGGGAATGCTGAGCTCTTCAAACTCTCTATGGCACCAGTGCCCACAAAACACTGCAAAAATATCCCAGGGCACATTACTCTGGGATAGCAGTGCCTGGGAGATGGGCTCCTCCAGGGTTGGATCTCCACTGTGGATGACAGCTGTGGGGAGGACAGACAGAAGAAGAGCTCCTTTGGCAGGGAAAACCCAAGGAAAACAAAATGACCTGAAATCCACTTAAAAATCAGCCTAGTTTTGGTGGCCATTGGTTTTATTGTGCAATGTTTGTAATGAGAGGTAGGAGAAGAATTCCTTCTGGCTGGTCCCATCAGCAGATCTGGGCTGTGCTGGTCATTTGGCCTCGTGCAGGGAGAAGGGACCCTCACCCTCTGAGCACCTGATGCCTAAATCCTTTTAAATTGCTAATTTGGGATGTGGGTTTTCTCTTAATTATCATAACCCTGGCACTTACACAGGGAGTTTTGGCAGTTCTCAACTTACTTGTGGGACATGCTGCTCCTCCCTTGCTGCAAGTGTTGGCTGCTGGCAGCTGCCATGGTGGGTAAAATAACGGCATTCCAAGAGTCTCCACTTCTTGGAAAGACTGATTCATCCAGAAACACGGTGCTAAGCTTCCCTTTTTCAAGGGGGCAGCACAAAGGTCTTGCATTATTCCCACTGCTTTGCAGGGTACAGGCGTCGGCTCAGGATCTGCCTCTCGTCTCTGCCTCAAAGGGGATAATTACTGAGAGGGTGTCAGATCAGGGCTATGAATCATGAGCAGCTGAAGGAAAAGAGAAAGGGATATTTAGCATGGCTGCTTCAAAAGCTGGGGGTCTGTTAAAGGATATCCCGCACCAATGTTTTACCATCAGTCTGGGAAAAGGTCAGAAAAAGCCCTAATTTGGGAAACTGGGCACTTCCAGGGAGGTCAAAAAGGTGTTTCACAGAGAGATGTAAACAGTCTTTGATGCCCAATGCAGCACCGCTCACTGGGAGCTCTGTCACGAGTGTCCCAGCTCTGGAGGTTTTCCTGAATACCAACATCACAAGGTCAGGAAATTATGTGAAAGATTTTGCTTTCAACTCCAAACATGAAAGTCATGTCTTTGAGGTGTAGAGAAACCCTTTGGAGAATGGCCTGCACACCTGCCTGAGAAATGGGGGCAAAAAAAATAGGAATTTGCTTTAAAATTTATTATTAACATTATTATTATTTAAAAATCTCACGGGCTTAAGTCAGTCAGGTATCATTTTTAATCCTGTCACTGCACACAGATTGACATGTACCTGTTTCTGTGTGTACCAGCTAAATATTTGTCTAAGACTGTGAGAGAACAGGACAGGGAGTCAGTGGTTTTAAGGTATGTGAGTCAGCTGGGCTGAAATGGCCTCAGGAGGAGGGAGATTTCACCTGATATAAGATTTCCTCGCCGAGGAAATCCCAAGATGCTCTTTCGTCTCCCCAAAGGGGTATGAAAACCCCATTTTATTCTGCAACTTAAAAGCAAACTGGGCAAAGGAGGAGAAAACATAAAGCAGGAGCTGCTCTTGGTGGATAAATTCCCAATGACAGTTTTATCTTGTAATTCCTCCTCAGCTGTGTTCGGATTCGTCATAACATCTGACTGACGTCTCCGGGCAGCCTTGCGATATTTACCTCTTTTCACAGCAAATGACTGAGGAAAGCGACGCAGCAGGAAAATCCTCGGGCTGAGATCCAGCTTAGGATCACTCAACTTGCCAGTAATCCGGTTTTATTGGATGTCGTCACCTGTTTCCTCGTGCGGCCGGGCGCAAAGTAATAACGTTTGGAATTCAAATTCGGGGTTAGGATGGGAAGATGGAGGGCGACACACGCAGAGCTGATACCTCTGACGTGGGCAACAGCACGTGGGCTCCTGGGGTGAGGATCACCAAGTGGTTATTTCAGGAAGGAAAGCAAAAAAAAACCCAAAAAAACCCCTCAAAGTACCCTCCCTTTATTAAGAGACAAAAATACCTGTGGT